TTCAGCAAGCTTCTCCTGAATCTCTCACAGCATGTAGATGAGAGTGGCTTAAGCCTCACCCTGGCAAAGGAGCAGGCTCAGGTAAGGGCTTTGGAAGAAGAGATAAGAAGAAGTGAAAATCCTGAGAGAGAGAGAGGTTCCTACCTGAGATTTTTTGGATTTCTAGGCATGGAAGGAAGTTCGACTGCATAAGACAACATGGCTGAGGTCTGAGATTTTACATAGAGTCATTCAAGAGTTGCTTGTGGACTACTATGTGAAGATGCAGGACACAAATGTAACTTCTGAGGACAAAAAGGTGAGGCAAAGGCTGGGCGTGATGGCTCACACCTGTAATCCCAGCACTTTGGGAGCCCGATGCAAGCTGATCACTTGAGGTCAGGAGTTTGAGACCAGCCTGGCTAACATGGTAAAACCCCATCTCTACTAAAAATACAAAAATTAACCAGACACATTGGCACATGCCTATAATCCCAGCTACTTGGGAGGCTGAGGCAGGAGTATCGCTTGAACCCGGGAGGCGGAGTTTGCAGTGAGCCAAGATTGTGCCACAGCACTCCAGCCTGGGTGACAGAGCAAGACTCAGTCTCAAAAAAAAAGTGAGGTGAAAGAAACCAGGTACAAGAACCACCAGGCCAACTGTGGCTTTGTCTTATGATGTGATCTAGGGGAAGTAGGAGCTTTGAGAAATGGGTTGTCAGAAGAGAAATGGACTGTAGTTATGGGAAAGGAGTGGATGTGTTATCAGAGTTTGAAATACAAACATTGACAGGAGAAGTCACTTGCAGCTGAGTTATCTGAGGGGAGATGACATATTTGAGGACTTTGAAAATATGTGAAAAAATGGTTCATGAGGATGGAAGAGGTGGAGTGGGAGAAGTTTTATAGTCACCTCTTTCTGTTTTTTATTCTGTCAGTTTCATGAGACCCTTGAACAGCGGCTACTTGTAACTGAACTGATGCGGCTCTTAGGTCCTAGCCAGGAGAGGGAGATACCTCCACTGCTGGGGATGGAGAAAGCAGACCTTCTGGAACTCATGCCACTCTCAGAGGTTGGCGGGGAGATATTGGAACCAAATAAATGAAATAGTTTAATTTCTCCCATATCTTTAAAATGTTTTTTGTCAAGCTTTATTGTTTTTGTAAAAATGATACACATTCAGGGTGGTCAGACTCAAATAAGAAAAACGTTACACAGGAGCAAGTAAAAGCTGAAATACTGCATCTAGAAGCACAATATTATTATAAATAGCTTGACATAAATGGTATTATACCCTTCATGCTTATACAGAGAGTATAAGTCTGAGTGTAGTGACTTCTGCCTATAATCTTAGCACTTTGGGAGGCTGAGGTAGGAGGATCACTTGAGTCCAGGAGTTCAAGACCAGCCTGGGCAATATAGTGAGACCTCATTTCTACCAAAAAAAAAAAAAAAAAAAAGAAAAGTTAGCCAGGTGTGGTGGTGCACACCTGTAGTCCCAGCTACTTGGGAGACTGAGAAGGGAGGTTGACTTGAGGGTGGGAGGTCAAGGCTGTAGTGAGCTGTGATCATGCCACTGTACTGCAGCCTGGGCAGAGTGAGACCCTGTCTCAAAAAAAGAAAAGTACAGTCTATTTTCATGTAATATATTTCGGATTTCTTTTCAAGTCAATACATAAATGTATATTAGATGATACCTTTTATAGCACTCTTAGCAAAGTATCTAGGCACATAGTGCTTAGTGTTATGTCATCAGTTTAAATCTCTGCTAGGATTCTACTGTATGGATGTAGAATAATTTGCTTAACCTTATTGATGGATATTAAGGTTGTTTCCACATTTTTGCTGTTAGAAACCACAGGGAGATGAACATGCTGGTTCATATGTGTCTTTACCTTTGTATGATTATTTCTGTAGTGTTGGTGCTAAAAGTGGGATTCCTGAGTCAGTGCATACTCATATACAATATTGGTACCTAATGCCAAACTGCTATCCAGAAAGGTATTTTCAGGACTCCTGGATCCCCCATGTGCTCACCAACATGGGGTCTTAACAGTCATTTTATTCTTCGCTAATGGATAGGTGAAAATGAGTCTCTCTGATGTCTCTTGATGCATTTTCTTTGGCTATTGTTCAGGTTATCATCATGTATTCATTGCTGAGATGTCCTAGTTCTTACAGTCTATTTGCATTTCTGCTTTTACTTCTGTGACTAGGATTTTGTGTGGATGAGGGCTCGGCTACAGCAAGAAGTAGAGGAGCAGCTCAAAAAGAAATGTTTCACTCTGCTCTGCTACTATGATCCCAATTCAGGTGAGTGCTAGCTCTCTGTTCTGCTCACAGCTGGACTTCAGGGTTCCTGGTCTGCTCTTTTGAGACTAATATATTTTGATTTTAGATTTGGGACAGAGGTTTAGACCCATCAGAGATGCTTATTTGTTTCATTGCTGGTGGAATAAAAACAAGGACTTTTTTTTGAGATGGAGTTTCGCTCCTGTTGCCCAGGCTAGAGTGCAATGGTGCCATTTCTGTTCACTGCAACCTCTGCCTCCCAGGTCCAAGTGATTCTCCTGCCTCAGCCTCCTGAGTAGCTGGGATTACAGCCATGCGCCACCCCGCTCAGCTAATTTTGTATTTTTAGTAGAGATGGGGTTTCTCCATGTTGATTAGGCTGGTCTGGAACTCCCGACCTCAAGTGATCCTCCTGCCTGGGCCTCCCAAAGTGCTGAGATTACAGGTGTGAGCCACCACGCCCAGCCAAAACAAGGACTTTTGTAAGGACTCTTTATTCAGCAAGATACCAAGTGGGAGTGTCCTCCTGCTACAGGAGGTTCAGAATGGTTTAGGGAGGAAAGTTCAGACTCATAGAACACCTTATAATCTCTGTATAAACTTGGAGGGTATAATACCATTTATGTCACGCTGTTTATAATAATGTGTTTCTAGATGTAGTATTCATATTTCAGCTTTTACTTGCTTCGGTATAATGATTTTCTTATTTGAGTCTGACCACCCTGAATGTGTATCTTTTTTTTTTTTTTTTTGAGACGGAGTCTCGCTCTGTCCCCCAGGTTGGAGTGCAGTGGCGTGGTCTCAGCTCACTGCAAGCTCCACCTCCCAGGTTCACTCCATTCTCCTGCCTCAGCCTCCCGAGTAGCTGGGATTACAGGTGCCTGCCATCACGCCTGGCTAATTTTTTGTATTTTTAGTAGAGTTGGGGTTTCACCATGTTAGCCAGGATGGTCTCAATCTCCTGACCTCAGGTGATCTGCCCGCCTCGGGCTTCCAAAGTGCCGGGATTACAGGCATGAGCCACCACACTTGGCCTCCCTAAACCATTTCTATGACTTAAGAATTAAGGTCCGGGCCTGGCGCGGTGGCTCACGCCTGTAATCCCAGCACTTTGAGAGACCGAGGCGGGTGGATCATGAAGTCAGGCATTCAAGACCAACCTGGCCAACATAGTGAAACCCCGTCTCTACTAAAAATACAAAAAATTAGCTGGGTGTGGTGGCGGGCGTGTGTAATCCCAGCTTCTTGGGAGGCTTAGGCAGGAGAATTGCTTGAACCTGGGAGATGGAGGTTGCAGTGAGCTGAGATTGTGCCACTGCATCCAGCCAAGGTGACAGTGCGAGACTCCATCTCAAAAAAAAAAAAAAGAATTAAGGTCCAAATCTGGAATCAAAGGTAAGAGTGAAGATAATTTATTTAATAATTATGAGAACCAGACGCCCCCCACTCCTCTTTTTTTTTAAACTCTGTCACCCAGGCTGGAGTGCAGTGGCACAATCAAACCTCACTGCAGCCTCGACCTTCTGGACTCAAGTGATCCTCTCACCTCAGCCTCCCAAGTAGCTGGCACTACAGGCGCATAGTATGCCTAACTAATATTTTAGAATTTTTTTTGTAGAGACAGGGTCTCACTATGTTGCCCAAACTGGTCTTGAACTCTTGGGCTCAAGCAATCCTCCTGCCTTGGCTAGGATTGCAGTGCTAGGATTGCAGGCATGAGCCACCATGCCCAGCCCAGAATGGGGCCATTTTTAATAGATTATTAGAAGAAAACCTGTTATTAGGCAGGATTTGTGGGGCTAGATATAGGATAGGGGCACTGGAAAGTTGCTTTAGAGGGGTTGTAGCGATTAGGGTTTTCCTGTCAGTCCTCTGCCCCCTTTGCCCAGATGCTGACAGTGAAACCGTGAAGGCAGCAAAGGTGTGGAAACTCGCAGAGGTCCTGGTGGGTGAGCAGCAGCAGTGCCAGGATGCCAAGAGCCAACAGAAGGAGCAGATGTTGCTGCTGGAGAAGAAGAGTGCTACTTACTCCCAGGTTTATCAGGGCATGGGACAGCCCCTTTCCTTTATCCTGACCCCAGGAGCACTTTTGGGGAAGCCAAAGATTCCTGATCTACGCTCCTTTCTACTATATTTATGCCCTCTTCTTCCTCCATCTGGGGCTCAGGTGCTTCTCCGCTGCCTCACTTTGCTGCAGAGGCTTCTTCAGGAACACCGGCTGAAGACTCAATCCGAGCTAGACCGCATCAATGCCCAGTACCTGGAAGTCAAATGCAGTGCTATGATCCTTAAGCTGAGGTGAGCTGTGACCCCTGTGGATCTAAGGGATTCTGTCTCACATATCAGCCCTCTATCCCTCACCCTAATCTCTTTCCTCTCCCTTATCCTAGCACCTTGTGGGTATCCAGTAAATGTCACATAGGAGTATTACCTTTTGGATTACCCAAAAGCTTTCAACATCCTTGAGACTTTCTTTTACAGCCTTCTGAAATAGGCACTTTACTGTGAGATCAATTGCTCGGGAATTTAGAGTGACCTTGTTTGTCCTATCAGTGCTTAGCCCACACCTTGACCATCAGCAGGTACTGTGTCCATTCCCAATACTGCTGCTATCAGGGACCTTCCACTTGCCATTTCTTTCTTCCCTCTGTCAGGATGGAGGAGCTAAAGATTTTGTCCGACACTTACACTGTTGAGAAAGTGGAAGTTCATCGTCTGATTAGGTGAGAACTCCTAAGAGTCTGGTACAGCTGTTCACAGGTGATTCTCACATTCCCTAAACTCATTTATTTAAAGATGTTGCCATTTTTGGCCAGGCACGGTGGCTTACACCTGTAATCCCAGCACTTTGGGAGGCTGAGGTCGGCGGATTGCTTGAGGTCAGGAGTTTGAGACCAGCCTGGCCAGTATGGTGAAACCCTGTCTCTACTAAAAAATGCAAAAATTAGCTGTGCATGGTGGTGTGTGCCTGTGGTTCCAGCTGCTCGGGAGGCTGAGGCAGGAGAATTGCTTGAACTCAGGAGGCGGAGGCCGCAGTGAGCCAAGATCATACCATTGCACTCCAGCCTCCATGACAGAGCGAGACTCCGTCTCAAAAAAAGAAAGAAAAAGTTTTCATTTTTGTCTACTACTTTCTGAGGAGCAGCATCCTTATATTGTACCTTCTCTGCCCGGGCTCTTAGGGACCGTTTGGAGGGAGCCATTCACCTACAGGAGCAGGACATGGAGAAGTCAAGACAGGTCCTGAACTCCTATGAGGTCCTTGGGGAAGAGTTTGACAGGCTGGTGAAAGAGTACACCGTACTCAAGCAGGCAACGGAGAACAAGCGGTGGGCTCTCCTGGAGTTCAACAAGGCCTATCGTTGAGCTCTGGCAGGGCCAGGAAACATGGCTTCTGCACAGCTGCTGCCTCCTAATCTTCCTGCTAGTAGAACCACCTTCACCTGGGGCTGCCTTCACTACAAGGGAGTGTGGAAATGCTTATGCTTACTTGAAACACTGCAGTCATTTAGGCACCCTCGTGGTTTCCCTTTATTTTTTATAATGATTAGGCCTCTTCTGGAAAATCTAGCAAGCAGATTTATATAATTTTTATGCATAGCTGTGTGTCAGTGTCAGCCCTGTATTATATTTGATTATCTCCTGAATAAAGTTATGATATTATATCTTAGGATTTTAGTCATTTTCCTTGGGCAAAGATGGAAAAAGAACATTGAAGGCTATGTGGGTAAGGAGGGGGGAACTGAGTGGATCCAGATAGAGACAGATATATGATGCTTATGCAAAGAGTAAGAAGTAGATGTGCCAGCTTGCCTACATCAAGTCTTAGAGGCTTCATTTTGGGAGAGTACAGTGGATTAAATTTGGGCTTGCTCTTGAAGAACTATAATGTCCAAAGGAGTGCTAGATGCTCAGGCAGGTAGGGAGCTATTTTCTAACTATGGGTATCAGTGTGGGAGTTATAATAAAGCAGCTGAGCCTGGGAGCAGTGACTCACACCTGTAATTCCAGCACTTCGGGAGGCCAAGGCAAGAGGATCACTTGAGCCCAGCTGTTTGAGACCAGCCTGGGCAACATAGCATGACCCCTGTCTCTATGAAAAACACTTCTTTTCTTTTTGAGACAGAGTCTCACTCTGTTGCCATGCTGGAGTGCAGTGGCGTGATAGCTCACTGCAGCTTCCGCCTCCTAGGCTCAAGCAATTCTTGTGCATCAGCCTCCCTAGTAGCTGGGATTACAGGCATGCACCACCATGGCCAGCTAATGTTTGTATTTTTAGTAGAGACAGGGTTTTGCCATGTTGGTCAGGTTGGTCTCGAATCCTGACCTCAAATGATCCGCCCACCTCGGCCTTGTGAAGTGCTGGGATTACAGGCGTGAGCCACCACGCTCAGCTGAAAAAATTGTTTTAATTAGCAAGTGTGATGGTATGTGCCTGTAGTGCCAATATCTCAGGAGGCTGAGGTAGGAGGATCACTTGAACCCAGGAGGTCAAGGCTGCACTGAGCCATGATGGCACCACTGCACTCAGCCTGGGTAGCAGAGTGAGACCCTGTCTCAAAAAAAAAAAAAAAGCAGCCAGTGTCCAGCTCAGTTATAGGAAAGGACATAAGCCACTTGTGTTCCTGGTTCCCTTGGTGTGGTTTGAGGGCTACATTTTCCTCTAAAAGCAGAGGTTTGGAGGAGATCCCCCTGAGGAACCAAGTTCAACAGTCTACTTAGCTTAGAACAAGGCAGAGTCCTGGCTGGCGTCAAAATAGGGGACTATGAATAGAAACAGAAGGCCTCCACCTTTATTTAGAAGAGCCTACTCAGTTTCTGAAACCACTTTCTAGGGAAGCTGTCTTGGGGTATTCTGCTAATATCAAATGATGATCTGGATTTATTTACAAGAACAATTAATGTCTTTGACTCAACTTTTTTTTTCTTTTTTTTTTTTTGAAACAGGGTCTCACTTTGTTGCCCAGGCTGGAGTGTAGTGGCATAAACATGGTTCACTGTAGCCTCAACCTCCCAGGCTCAAATTATCCTTCCACCTTAGCCCCTTAAGTAGCTGGGACTACAAGCATGTGCCACCATGCCCAGCTAATTTGTGTGTGTGTGTGTGTGTGTGTGTGTGTGTGTGTATATATATATATATTTTAGATACTCTCGCTCTGTCGCCCTGGCTGGAGTGCAGTGGCACAATCTTGGCTTACCACAACCTCTGTCTCCTGGGTTCAAGCGATTCTCGTGCCTCAGCCTCCCGAGTAGCTGGGATTACAGATATGTGCCACCACACCTGGCTAATTTTTGTATTTTTAGTAGAGACGGGGTTTCACCATGTTGGCCAGGCTGGTCTTGAACTCCTGACTTTAGGCAATCCACCCACCTCAGCCTCCCAAAGTCCTGGGATTACAGGTGTGAGCCACTGCGCCTGGCCAATTTTTGTATTTTTTGTAGAGATCAATTGCTCAGAGATTCAGAGTGACCTTGTTTATCCTATCAGTGTTTAACCCACACCTTGACCGTCGGCAGGCACTGTGCCCAATCCTAACCCTGCTCCTATCAGAGATCTTCCACTTGACATTTCTTTCTTCCCTCTGTCAGGATGGAGGAGCTAAAGATTTTGTCCAGGCTGGGCGTGGTGGCTCACCTGTAATCCCAGAACTTTGAGAGGTGGAGGTGGGTGGATCATCTGAGGTCAGGAGTTTGAGACCAGCCTGGCTAACATGGTGAAACCCCATCTCTACTAAAAATACAAAAATTAGCCAGGCGTGGTGGTGCATACCTATAATCCCAACTACTAGGGAGGCTGAGGCAAGAGAATTGCTTGAAACCTGGGAGGTAGAGGTTGCAGTGAGCCAAGATTGCGCCACTGCACTCCAGCCTGGGTGACAGAGCAAGACTCCATCTCAAAAAAAAAAAAAAAAAAAAAGATTTTGTCCAACATGCCACTGCACTGCAACCTGGGTGACAAAGTGAGACCCTGTTTTTCAAAAAACAAAATTGAATTTTTCAGTAGGCTGGTGGTTACTGTATTAGTGCAGATATAGAATATTTACATCATTGCAGAAAGTTCTATTGGACAGGGCTGTAAGCCTATATTTCCTCAAAACTGGAAGTAGGTCTACAGACTTGATTAGATTTGGGTGAAACAATTTTGCAAAGAATACTTAATAAATGACATTACATACTTCACATTACATTACGCTGGAGACATCAGGTCAGAATTTGTCACTTAATTATGCTCAGTTTCATTGCTTGGTTAAGGTGGGAACTGTCAGATACCACATAGTGGTATTTCTCTGGTGTATAAAAATCCGTTTCCTCTTTAAGTAGCAGCTGGAAATGAACTTCAAAAATCTCAAAATAGTTCTTCCTGATACTTATAGTATTTAGCATTTCTTCAGTCAATTAGTTTTGGTATACTAATCATCTTGAATCATACTAAAGTTTTAGTATTTGAAATAGTAAGGATAAAAACTTTTTAAATGGACCTTGACGCCAGGCGCAGTGGCTCAAGCCTATAATCCCAGCATCTTGGGAGGCCGAGGCTGATGGATCACTTGAGGACAGGAGTTCGAAACCAGCCTGGCCAACGTGGCAAAACCCTATCTCTACTAAAAATACAAAAATCAGCCAGGTGTGGTGGTGCATGCCTGTAATCCCAGCTACTCGGGAGGCTGAGGCACGAGAATCACTTGAACCCAGGAGGCAGAGGTTGAAGTGAGCTGAGATCACACCACTGCACTCCAGCCTGGGTGACAGAGTGAGACTCTGTCTCAAAAAAAAAAAAAAAAAAAATGGACCTTGATGAGGTGCAGTGACTCACCCCTGTAATCCCAGCACTTTGGGAGGCCGAGGCAGGTGGATCACTTGAGGTCAGGATTTCGAGACCAGCCTGGCCAGGATGGTGAAACCCCACCTCTACTAAAAATAAAAAAATTAGCCAGGCATAGGGGCACGTGGCTGGAGTCCTAGCTACTCAGGAGGCTAAGGTTGAGGATTACTTGAACCTGGAATGGGGAGGTAGCAGTTAGCCACCACTGCATTCCAGCCTTGGTGACAGAGTGAGACTGTTTCTAAATAAATAAATAAAAACTGTGTCCTCAATGTTTATAACCTATACACAGTAGTGGACACACAAAACAGTCTAAGAACATAAAGTAACAAGAAGTGCAAATACATATGGTTGCAAACCAGAAGTGAATCAAGAATAGAATTTGGGGGCTGGGTACAGTGGCTCATGCCTGTAATCCCAGCACTTCAGATGGTCAAGGAGGGAGGATTGCTTGAGTCCAGGAGTTTGAGACCAGCCCGGAAGCATAGGGAGAACCTGTCTTTACAAAAATAATTTTTAAAAAATTTTTGTTTGTATTTTTGTTTTTGTTTTTTTCCTCCTTCGTAGGGGAAAAGGAACAAAAGTCATGTCCATTGTGGCCTGAGGGAGCACTACAGGTGTTTCTCTTGGTCCATTCATTCTGCACATTGACTGGAGGTGGAAGATTTGTCGGAGGTGCCCTTCGTACATGCTGCTCTCTATTGTGGCAAAGATGGGAAGGAGCCTTGGAGGACAAGTAGAAGGGGCTGCATGAAAGTGACAGCTGAGGGGCCGGGCGCCATGGCTCATGCCTGTAATCCCAGCACTTTGGGAGGCTGAGGCAGGCGGATCATGAGGTCAAGAGATTGGGACCATCCTGGCCAACATGGCAAAACCCCATCTCTACTAAAAATACAAAAATTAGCCAGGCGTGGTGGCGTGCACCTGTAGTCCCAGCTACTCGGGAGGCTGAGGCAGGAGAATCACTTGAACCTAGGAAGCAGAGGTTGCAGTGAGCCGAGATCACGCCACTGCACTCCACGCCTGGCAACAGAGCGAGACTTCTTCTCAAAAAAAAAAGAGAAAGTGACAGTTGAGGGTTAGCATCTTGGACCTTAGCTGCTCTCTTTCCCTCACACTGCTCAGAAAAGATTTGCATTTACTGCCTCCCTTCATTCTTTCAGTCGAACCTCTCTTTACTTGCCTCTTACCACGTCTGATAAGTCTTATAGATTATTCCCTTGTGATGAGAGGCAAAGGAAATCACCTTCAGAACTTAGAATAGGATCAACTCTGGGACTCTTGGATAAACAAAATCTGTTTCCTGAATATTCTCAATGAAAGGTGAATATGGAGGTGTCCTGGGGAGTGACTGCACTCTTCCTTGGCCACCACAATCAGGAGACCCAGCGCCCCCTAAGGGCCAGCTTTGGCATCTCCAAAGGAGAAGGGTGCCCCTCACCCTATAAAGAATCTCTGCATATTGGCTGGGCGCGGTGGCTCACGCCTATAATCCCAGCAATTCTTTGCGGGGAGGCTGAGGCAGGCAGATCACTTGAGCTCAGGAGTTTGAGACCAGCCTGGCCAACATGGTGAAACCAGGTCTCTACTGAAAATACAAAATTAGCCAGGTGTGGTGGTGCACACCTGTAATCGAGAGGCTGAGGCATGATAATAGCTTGAACCTGGGAGGTGGCGGCTGCAGTAAGGCAAGATGGGGCCACTACCCTACATCCTGGGCAACAAAGCAAGACTCTGTTTTGGGGAAAAAAAAAAAAAAAAATCTGTCCATATTATCCATCTTGAAGGACCTGGACTAGGTTTTGTTAAAGGAACTAGCAGGCTTCCTTATACCTTGAGACAGCAAA